GGGCATAGATTCTGAACAGCGAAGATTGAACTCCATACCTGCTAAAATAAAAAGAGTGGTGAGGAGTAAAGGGAAATTGAACCTATAATTTATAGGAACCCCATATCCTTAGCAAGCTGCGGATTCTATCCAAGGAATGGAGTGATTCGCGGAGAGATTTATGCCCTCGAACGGATCCTGCATTAAAAGGCGCATCTCCAAGAATATTTGGAAAGAAAGGAAAGTTGCAAATATTTCCATAAATAAAAAGGGGCCGAAGCCCATTACGAGTTTAAAAAAAAAAAGAAAAAAAAAAAGAAGTGAAGAAGTTAAAGAACATTTATGGGAGAGGCTCAGGAACAGGCTCCTTCATCGCCGGTTTAGTCTTCGAAGTGGACGCCTTGTTCTTGGCATCCACTTCGGAACGATCCCGAACGCGTTTCCGGCAGTTGCTGGCCTCCTCCTCCAAGTCCTCTTCCTCTTCACTGTCGGATGGAACGGCGCAGACAGGGGCGTTCACGGGACCCGGGACTCCTCTAGCGCGGAGATACATCCGAAGCATCTTCGGGATCTCAGCAACGGAGTCGAAGTTCCGCCACTCCCATTGAAAGGGATCACTCTCCAAGGCCCGTATCTTCCTTTCCACCCGAGCGATGCGAGCCTCGAGCGTCTGCCTTTTGAGTCCCAGCCGCTGCCTCTCTTCACACAAGCGACGGTGCTTGTCGGCGACCTAGCATAAAAATGAGTGAATAAGACGAAACAAGAAGTTTTAAATCAAAAACTTTAATATTTACCTTGTCAATAAAATCGCAAGCCTCTTTCTTCTCCTTCGGAGGAAAGTGAAAGACGGCGTGAGGGAAGAGAACGCCGGCCGGTTCAAAGCCGTCGCCGGACAAGAAGAGTGGGCTGCCGGGATCAACGGGGGCTACTGTTTCGTTTTCCATTCTTAATATTTCTCAAGTAAGATTCTAAAGTCATGTTTAAATAAAGCTTAGAAGTAGGTAAGCCTTTATTTATAATGATTTAGGGTTTGTCTTGGAACCATAAATCCAATAATGGTAGTGTGTCCGAGTGGTTTAAACCATTTTTGGAAATCGAGAAAAAGCACTTTTTGCATTAAAGACGAGCCGTTTTCCTTACTTATAAGAAGGGAAAGCGCAACCGTCGCATTAACTACAAAAGTTTCTAAGGCCCAAGCCCAACAAGTTTACCGAGTTGACTAAACCCGAAGTGGGGAACTCGCTTTAAGCCGAGCTCAGTTCTCGCATTCTAAAGAGAAAGGTCTGATCAGCCTAAAAATCTCAAAAGCATAACCACAAGGCCACAAAAGGTTAAAAGCGGACTTTGCAAACCCGCATATAATTTTAACCAAACCCCCTTGGGTCACAACCTAGAAAGGTTTAAAAGCCTCCTCAGGCAAATATCTTGTTCAAAAGAAACAATAAAGCCTCCTTAAGCCAAAAATAAGTTCGAAATTAAGTCTTAAAACTAAAGGGACAATCCCCAATTTAAAGTGGACGCAGCCACTACGGAGTGATCTCCACCTCGGACTCCGGCTCAGCAACCAAAGTTTCATTCACCTCCTTGACTGGTGCTTGATCAGATGAAGCTCCCTGACCACCCTCCGCGGTACAACCAACCTCTGGAGTGACCTCCGGTACCATAGGAGCTACGGGCGGAATAACGTCTTCCGTCTCACTTGAACCTAGAAATAATAATTCCAGTCAATCAAAGGTACAAGGTGAGAAAAGGTAAGCCTCAGGAGCCAAGTGTTACCTGCCCAGTCTAAACCCGATTCACTTATAGGAGGTAGAAGTGGGAAGAGCTGCCAAGCGACTCCGTTTTTCAGAAAGGTTAGTCGACAGCTCGGTCCTATCTTGCTCCTCGGAGAAATCTGCTTCATGGATTTGATCCAGCAGAATCAGGTTGCTTTCGTGCTCCTTGATGTCTGACTCCAAGTCCGACCTAGCTTTCTCGGTTTGCATGAAGCGAATGGCCCCTTGGATCAATTCCATCCCGCGTCCCTTAACCTCCTTTCTGGCCTTCGATGCCGACCTTGCCAACTCAGAATCACGCAACTTGGCTAGCGCCTTGTACTTCGCGTCAAGCTCGATAAGTTGGTTGTTCAGGGTATCGGCGGTTGATTCGGATTCATGAAGTCTACCCTGAACACCAGAAAGTTCGTCCTGGAGTTTGTAATTCCGGTCGTAGTAGTCTTGCAGCTCCCCCTTTACCTGCGCCAGCTCAGACGTCAACCTATCGACCTTATCCTCCAGATCGTGCTTGGAGCCAGCAGAAGAATTGAGTTCAGCCTCAAGAGCTGAGAATTTCTTTTTCCACATGTCAATCTCCTTCTCCCGTCCAATGACCAACCCTTCGTAATGTTCGATCATGTCGTTAAATTCGCTATGAGCCTGGCATTATACATGAACCCGGGATGGCGAGTCAGTTCGCAGAATGGCAATGCAATAAAAAAAAAACGAAACTAACCCGAGATGAGTGATGCGCGTGAAGCAAATAGCGTTCACGAATCGCAGGGCGCCATTTGTCGAAATCTGGCAAGATCGAACCCGATCGGGTCTTGAAGCATCGGAAGACGCTGCCTTCTTTCTCCATAGCTGCGAAGAAGGAAGAATTATAAAAATTGGAATTTTAATAGAGACAAAAAGTTTAAGTATGCGTAAATCATCAAACCTGAAAGCGATTTGACTTGAGGGACAAGAGCAGGCTTCAACCTCGAGGGAGCATCTCGAGATTCAGAGTCTCCACTTTTAGGGGATGCACTCCGAGCAGTCTTTTTGCTGACGGGCTGGGAAGAAGAAGACATGTCAATAGGTCGGGGAGGACCCATTGGTTCAGTAGGAGGGGATGATCGAGGTGAACGGTCAGTCCGGGCCCTTGATTTCTCCCTTCGCGGAGACGAGTCATCATGGGACGACTTGTCCCTCTTCTTACGAACCAAATTCTTAAGTGGTTCGTTGCTGAAATCGTCTCGGGGAGGACGAGGAGAATCACGACGAGGAGACCGCTCTCTCCGAGGAGAACGCTCGTCGCGACGTTCGCGACGAGGTGTTAACCTATAAGCAGCAACGGATCTGGCTCCCTCGGAGCTGTTGTCATCAACCAGCAGGGTCCTGCTGTAATCTTTTTTGTCAATGGCGGTCGCAAGGAACGCCTTGTTTTCATCACAAGCCTCTGCTATCGGCTTGGAGAGTTTCTTACGCTGGGCAGCGAGGGCCCGAGCTGACATTCCCTGAGTTGAGGGAGGAGGCGGAAGACGATGAAGTAGATTGGGAGGACTCATCCTGAGTTTCCGGTTGGCCTCGACAAACCGGTCAAGGGTGAAAGAATTCCAAAGGGTTTCCCCTTCAAGGATTGTTTTGAAGAACTTGACAAATTCTTCAGTCGGGAGAGTTGAAGCGATGAAAGCTGCGAAATGAAACAACGAATTCGGTCAGTAAAAAAATAATAATAATGAACAATAAAGGAATATACGACCTAGTCTCTACCAGGTTTCGCAGACCACTTCGATGGGAGTATATCGGAAAGATTCCCAATCGAAGCAGGAGTTTTCTTAATCAGAAACCAAGGATGGTGCCAGTTCTCATCCTTGTTCGGGAGGTGCGAAATGACGTTTCTATTGGCATTTGGATACGCCGAGAAGTACCCAGTTTTCTTTGATGAACTCCTTACGCTTAGGAGTTCATTCAGCTCGGGGACTCCAATGACGTAGCCAGCCTCCGCCGCAACGGTTATAATCCCGAGGATGGTTCGGAGGAGATTGGGGGTTAATTGAGGTAAAGCGATCTCGAGAGCCGCCAAGAATCGAACTAGGGCTTCGGGAAGGGGGAAGGTCAATCCGCAGCCCTTAAAGTAAATTTCGTAAACGCAAAAGTAGCCGACACGGTGGTTCTCCGGGGATTCCGTAGGATCGGCTATTTGTGCCTCCGCTATAATTCCAGGAGGAATTTGACAAAGCCCCTTCAATCGCTCAAGGGATTGAAGAGTACAGGTGGATTTGTAATGAGGACCGGCGATATCGTTAGGACGAGTGCATTCGTCATTACTAGAACGCCTCTCGTCGTAAGACGGAGATTCAGGTCTTTCAGAATCAGAAGTCATCGGATAAAATGAAAAATTCAAGATCCGGCGAAGGAAGGTTCGGAGAAGAAAAGTAGAGAGAAGTTTTGATTAAAGCACAAAAGTAAAAGAAGGAAGTAATGGTGAAAAGAAGTTACCTCACCCAAACTAATGATAAAACCGCCTTGGAAGTTGTGTGGGAAGTGGGAAGGTTTTTTCCCGTTTTAATAGTAATTAATCAATATACGGTCATAATGATGACAGATGTCACACGGTTAAAAATGGCTAGTGCCGAAATTAAAGGAGTGATGAGATTTTCGGCGGGAAATCAGAAAGATTCTCGAGCGCAATCTTTGGCCACTTGAGCATTTAAAGTCCTCCGAATTGGAATAGCACTTCGAAGAACTTGGGGGGCTAATTGTTGGTGTCGGATCCCGCACCAGAAGTCCGCGACCAACCAAAGATTGCCACGTAGTCAAAATAATGGCCCATAAAGGATGAAGCCCATTGGACCCATAGGCCGAAGGAGCGGTCGAAGTGGTTGTCACTACCTCGAGAATCCGAAGTGACTGCACTGTGACACGAGTTCGGTGTAGAAGACACGGGTAAGCCGGCTCAAGGACACTTGGGCCAAAAAGGCAAGGCCCATGAAGATCAGAGTCAACTCAAAATTCAAACGTTGAGCATTAAAGTCAAAGAATCAAAACGGACACATTTAAGAAGGAATAATTGTGCTTAATTACTCATTTTAATGTCGTTTCTCTATGTATAAATATAGAGGCCAATGGCCATGTAAGAAAAGATCTTTCCTCTAAAGAGAGAAATATTATAGCAATTTTCGTAGCAATTCACAAGTTTTTATACATCCATTTTTGTCCCTCAAGAATAATCTTTCCCACTTAATAAAATACTTGAGTGTGTGAATCCGACTTCCACAATAGGCGGATCGATCGTCGTGTCAACAGGTCGGGTTGACGTATAACCGGATCTGTTTACGATCGGATAAACGGACCAAGGCATAGATCGGCGGATTGACCGGTCGTATAGATCGGCGGGATGACCGACAATACGTATCGGAGATCTGATCGAGGGAACATGGTGGATTACTCGATCGAGGATTCGATGAGAACCGCTGGAGGGTTCGACGACTTGATTGATGGTTCGGATCGATAGCTCGATTATGGGGTCGATGGATCGTCCGCTCTATAAGTCATATCGTCGAGGGAAGGACACAAAAAGGAAATGGATCGGCAAATCTAAGATTGTCAATATGGAAGTATCGACGGATCTAACGATAGACCGATAGATGATATGGTTAACGGGAAGTTAATCGGGAAGGCGTATAAGGGAAAGGTGTTCGAAGAAGCACGAGGATAAGTGCAACCGAACACACCCAAGGGTCGCCCATGGATGCAATCTCACCGGTAAAGGGAGTAAGCACCGAGAATGGGTAAGTGACGTGGTTCACCATGTAAGGATCTAATATCGCGGCCGCCTTCATGTATCAATCGCCATGGCCGATGGTGAAACCGATTAGGAATCGGTAACACCAATGGTGACTCGACGGATAACCAACGGGAAAGTCCACGGTGAGAACCGGTGGACAAAACGGATGTTGGACCCGCGAGCAAACCAAAGGCCGACGGACAAATGATTTCATGGGCTAGCCTACGATAATCCGATGGGTGAATCCACGGACCCTTGGGTGTGATAATGATATTGTTCGGATCGCATGGATGGATCGGTAAGCCGAAGGCGTTATGACCACCATGGACCGTACGGGTAAAACGGTTAGTAGACCGTGGGCGGTCGTAGTGATAAACGACCGGATCGGAAACATGGATGGTTCGATAAGCCGAGGGCTTGATCGTCCACCATGAAACCGAAGGGGCGTACGTTTGGAGGACGGATGGACCAATGAGCCAAGAGCTTGATTCGGCCACCGTGAACCAAGAAAAACGTACGATCCCCAATCTCTATCGTAGGGACTTAGACCAGTGGGGTTGGTTGGATGAATGGCTAAGTAACGATAGAGATTGGTCCATCAATACACGATTGGTTAAGAATCGTTGTACGAATGGAATAAGGCAACGAGAAGGCTAAGAGAAGGATCAATAGACGGATCGAAGAGGAATCAAATCCGCATGTAGGCCAAGGTGTGTAAACGCATCTAACTTATTAGTTAAGATAGACGTTTGAGAATTGGCCGTTGGATTAGGGATACAAAGAATATGCAATCGTTAGACTTAGAATGGTTAGCGAACAAATTGCATGACTTGGCCGAGTTAATGATCGATCTAAAGTCTAAGGGACAAAGATGATCAAACCGGTACAAGGGTTGGTTGGAATTAAACCAAGGATAGAAAGACTTCCGCTGGGTACTAAGAAAGCGATTACAGAAGTAAGCCTCGTAAAGGCAATTCTATGTTAAATCGCGAAAAATATGGAGGTTCGGCCGGGAAAAGGCACGAACGTGTGACCATGGTCGCCGGACGCCGAGACGTCCGGGAATGGGTCTCACATATATGTAGACGCAAGTTTCTTGCATGAACAAGAGGGAACAACAGATGTAGCACATATGCAAACAATACGAGAGGGAATCAAACAACAATTATGGGATGCTTTTTATTAGTGAGTTTATTATATGTATTTCAGAATGATGTATTTTGAAGTTTATTTTAAGGAAAAACTAAACAAATAATAATTATTTTGAATAATTTTTTTTTAGAAAAAGTATGATAATTATGTTTTAGTAAAAATATCAAATTTAAATTAAATATTTGCATATATTTATTTAATTAATATTTTTTACAACCAAAATTTCTTTAATTAATATTTTTATAAATTTAATTATATTATTACTTTTCAAAAATTCAGCTAGATTCAGCAGTTACCATTTGAACTTAATATTATTCAGCTACATTTAGCAAAAAATCACTAATATATTCAGCCAGATTCAGCAATTCAGCCGCATTCAGCGGTTACCATTTATAGCCTTTGTCATACTTGTTTGACAGTCTTGTTGATTTTCTTCATTATCAATATCTAATTTTCATTTTTCTCTACATTTAAAGCAGTCTTGTTGATTTTCTTCATTATCAATATCTAATTTTCATTTCTTTCTACATTTAAAGCACACAATCTAATCATATAATCTTAGGTTGTGAATGGGGAGAGCGGAACCAGCGTTTTAGAAGTGGTTTAATATTTGTGTTACCATTCAACAATTTTTGCAAAGTGCCGGACATAATATTTCTTTAAAATTAATGTATTAAAATATTACTATTTGGTCCAGCTTTTTCTATCCGCCTACTGCGTTCTAACAACACCTAACTACAAGTGTTTCATATGTTTAACAAATATATACACATATGTACATATAACATACACAACTTTAATAATTCTAAAAATTTTGAAATAAATTCTATATGTTAGTTTTATCAAATAACACAACCCTAGTTTAGAAAAAAATTGTTTCGATCACTTGAAATATTATTAAAATTAGTTATAATTTGATAATTATTTTACCCGCACCGCATTCACCATTCAAACAATGTTCTGTACTGCTTATTCTATATAAACCGCACTTGTTCCGCATAATGCGTTTTTTATAACCGTACCGTAGTAAAACCGTACCGCACTTCTATAACCGCTTATCCCGCATTATCTAAACCGCTGTCACCATTCGGAGTTAAACTCTAGAAACTTATACGAACTGATACACTATACCAAAATCGCCTTTGATGCACATATCTTTTTCCCACCTCCACCTCCAAAAAATTAAAGCTACACGTAAAAGGCTGCTACATCACTCGTCTCCGATAGTCCAATTTCTCTATATTTTATTTTTTTAACAACTTTTTTTTGTTAATGTTAGAATTATACTATAATCTGAATTTCTCTATAATTCAGATTGGTATGTCAATATTATAATACTAGATATTAACCCGCGGTACACCGCGGGTCTATAATTTTATTAAATAATAATAAAATTAATTTTTTTTAAAGATGATCTATAGATATATGCTATTGTTTTGTTTGATTTAAATGTATGGTACACACGATATTTTATAACTAAAGATTTAAAATTTGAAGTTTTATTTGTTTTGTTAATATTATTTGTTTAGTTTTGTTTAGTGTTTAAGATTGTATAGTTATATTTTGATTGTTAATTATAGGATTTCACCTGTAGTATATCATACTGTATTAATATCGACCCCAAATCCGTCCGACCATATAACTCTGTCCCGTGAAATCTACATCATTTTGTCATTTTCCAATAAAATTCAAATATTTCTAATATTCGAAACTTCATTTAATATCGACCCAAAATTCATAATAGTATTTTGATTGTTATATCTAGGATTTCACCCGTAATATACCGTCCCGTATTAATATCTTTTGTAAATATTTATAATGTTTAAATTTCTTATAAATTATTATAAAATTCAACTATTTAATATTTGAAACTTTATAAAATTCCTAATATTATAAATATTTAAAACGTTTTATAAAAATAAACTTTTTTAAATGTTTAAATAATTATAATATTTTACTTTTAATAAAGTTTAAATGTTTATAATAATTTGAAACTATTTAAAAGTTTCAATAAAAAATATTAGAAAACATTTAACATGAAATACATTGGATAAGAAAATAAAATATATATGATGTGATTGTTAACCATATAAAACATGTAATTATTGTAAAAGGTTTTAAAAGATTAGAAAAATTACACTTACCAACCAAAACTCGGATCCACAGGTTTTAGTAAAAGTATATATCATAAAAACAATTAAAATACATAACATTAGAATAATGAAAATTAAGAATAAGAACTTTATTTTATTAACAAATTCATTTCCTTTTTACGTTAAAGAAAATGATTTTAATAGAATGGACTTGTTATGTTAGCCTATAAAAGAAAATCATTTACAAACATTATGAGGAAACATGAAATTATGAAAATGTAAAAAAATACTGGACATTAAAAAAAATTCGTATCTGAAGATAAGAAGAAGGACTAACTAACCTTTTAATGCATACCTTATTTGATAGTTTCTTTGGAGACGGAGTTGATGATGTCCATAATTTCCAAAGATCTTAAAATCGAAAGCTGCAACATAAGAAAAGTAGGTGACAATTAATTTTTTAAAAGAAAACAAACGTGAAATATAAAATGTACTAAGAACATTGTTTAAAAGAAGCCATATAAATCTCTATTACGAAAACGTTTAGTATTGTGGATCAATGGTTGAAAAGATCTTTTTTATATAGATGAATGAAAAGTACTCGAGAAGTTTAGGTTTGATCTAAAAATTAAAACAATTTTGCAAATATTGGAAAATTAAATATTTGATTCCTAATATATTCGATTTTGTATTATCAACTGAATAACGTCTATATGCATGGTGGGATTTATGAATGAGGAAAGCTAATTAAAGATATTTCCATTTGTTTTAGGAAGTTTGTTGAATAATATCTAAACGAAACAAAAAAAATCTTTTAAAGATATTTTATGAGAAATAATATATTCGCCAATTTGGGTTGGGGATCAAGTATATGAAAATCTCGTAAATATTATATGTTATATTTATTACATATACTAATTTTCACATTGTAGTTATTTAAATCAAAGAATTTAATGAGTTAATTATGGAATACAAAATATTTATGTAAATCAAAAAGTTTAAAGAACCAATAGCGCTGGAATTGATTTTTTTGCTATAACGATTACTAAAACATTTAAGTAAATAAAGATATTTCGTTATGATTTTTCAGCATATTCGAATTGTTGATTATTTCGAAATTTAAGGATGTTTAAGAAATCATGATTGATTTCCGATTTCATAAATTTTGATTAGAATTAAAAATAAAAGATTTAGTATTTAGATAAGGAATATACTATAATAAGGATTATTAGTACTCGAATATATTAGGAATATTCGTATTGTTAGTTTATTTAATTCAAAAATTATAATTTGCGGATTTAAAGGAAGATCTTCTCGAGATTTTAGGCATATAATCGAGATTTTAGTAACAAACTGTGATCACATTAAATTTTCGAAAGATTTGTGTCGAAATTGTTAGAAACAAATTAGGATAGATAATGTTTGGTTAGTATCTTTTTAATATTTTCAAATCTTTAGAATTAAACTCATTGACATTATATTGTTGAATTTATTTTTTAAAAATGACGTAATATTAAATAAAAAAATAAATAACTAACTATTTTCATTTGATGGTGTAGACAAATTATTATTACTATTTATGTAATTTAATTACAAATAACAAATATTAATTTTTATAACAAAACAAATTATTTTCGTAATAACAATTTTTCCCCAAATCAATCTTTTACAAAATATTTATTTTAATCACATATTCTTTCTATATAGAAATAAATAGTTAAATAATTATGGTTAGAAGTAGTTAAAGTAAATAACAAATATGGTTAGTTTAGATATATTATATATATTTCTAATTTAGGTGTTAATTAAGAATTAATGTCGTTTTTATTACAAACTTCCTTAAATTTCTTATTCTAGATCCGAATAGAGTTAAACCCGGGTAAAACCCGGATCCAAAAGACTTTTTGCAAAAATACCCTGTTGTTATAAACTATATTGATGGACTCCATAACCGGCCCATGGCCCATTAGGGTTTTAGCTTATCCTCTATTATCCTTGTATATATATCCCCTATTCCATTAATGAAACAGATAGTTCACAACACCTGTAAAAATATATATGTAGATTATGAGGTATTGAGGTGTACGTGTTCTATTCGCTCCATCTATTGATGTCCGTCGTGTGGGACAGTCCTCACGCGCTTTGGTTGCCCAATCTGAACACATTGGTAAATGTGTTTTCAACGATGATTTGATGAAAAAAGAAACCCATTTTTATAATTACCTAAAATCAAGGAAAATTGACCCAAATGATTTTTTTTACTATATAGATGTGACTGACCAGTCACTATTTTAATACACATCTTGAACAAGTTTTCTTCTGTCTTCTCTTTCACTCTTCAGACACAACAGTGAAACTAAAAATATTAGATTTCAGACAAAGATTTTCTCGAGATCGGAGAATACAAGAAATGAAGTTCGGGAAAGAGTTCTCGTCGCAAATGGTGCCGGAATGGCATGAAGCTTACATGGATTATGATTATCTCAAATCTCAACTTAAAGAAATCATCAAATTCAAACGCAAAACCAATCCTCACGGTGGTCACCCTCATCATCATCATCATCATCACGACGGACTTCACCGGAAAATGACTCTTCACCGAGCATTCAGTGGTTTAATCTCCACGTCGCCGAAAAAAAAGAAACACCACGGACACGGCGGAGGACACGGACACAACGGTGCTGGTCAGATCGGACATTTCTCAGATTCCGATGATGACATCGAGGAAGGAATTAAGCATGTCACTGCGCCGATTCTAATAAACTCGGCGAGTCATGGATACGAAACGACGTTTTTGATGGCGTCGGAGGAAGGAGGAGAGTACGAGACGGTGTTTTTCCGGCGGTTAGATGATGAATTCAATAAAGTTGAGAAATTTTATAAAGAGAAAGTTGAAGAAGTTATGAAAGAAGCTGTGATGCTTGAGAAGCAAATGGATGCTTTGATTGCGTTTAGGGTTAAAGTTGAGCATCCTGATGGTTGGCCATGGGAAGAACGTACGGTGGAGATGACTCGATTAGCTTCTGATGTTGCTATTTCTGCGGCGGCCGTCGCTGCTTCTACTCCCGCCGGTGCTAGATCTAGTAAGTTAAAGTAAACCTGACTCGGTGACTATAATTTGCAATCTTACCGGTTTAAAATTGAAATTGATCTGGTTCTTTCTCCGGTTTTGTTGCTCTGGTTTTTTCGAACCGTAATGGCCAAATTGAAATTGATTAGTTTCGTTCTCGTGTTTGATTGATTGATTAATTTCGGTTTTATCGAACCGTAACCGTTACTGAATGGTTTTGTTGAAATTGATCTGTTTCTTTCTCAACTTTTGTTGCATCCCTCTCCGGTTCGATTAATAATTCTGGTTAAATCGAGCGGTTAACAGTACTGAATGACCCAATTAAAATTGATCTATTTCTTTCTCTGGTTCTCTGTTTGCAGAATTGCAGTATTTGAATACTATCCGGTTTGAGTAAACCGTAATTGTACCAATTCGCCAAATTGAAAATTGATTTTTTTTTTGAAATTCTGGTTTGGTTGCAGTGAAGGTTGGAGCTCAAGCTCACATGGAGGCGATACAGGAAGGAGGATCAAGCAAAGCTGGTAAATCCTCCGACGAAGAAGATGATGAAAATGACGATGGTGATCTGGAGAAAGAAGAAGATAACGGCGTCTCCAGCGAAGTGGCCGGTGACGTGAGGAAGATGAAAGCTGCGAGGCCACCTCCGATCGAGGTTTTGGATCGTGTAAAGTTCAACCATACGAAGGAAACACCTCGATCCACCATTAAAAGTGTTCTCCAGGCCTCGAATTTGACAGAGCTTAAATTTAGCAGAGAAAATCTGAGGAAAGTCGAAGCTAAGCTCAGACGTGCCTTCGTTGAGTTTTACCAGAAGCTTCGGCTACTCAAAAGCTACAGGTACGAACTCGTATATGTATGTTGTTGAATTGGATTATCAAATGTTGAGTATTATGATTGGAGTTTGAGATTCGATGCAGCTTTTTGAATGAATTGGCGTTTTCGAAGATATTGAAGAAGTATGATAAGGTAAGATTTGGTTTGAGGTTTGAGATTTTGATTTTTGAAGTAATGACTGAAAGGTGTTCGACGAAATTACTCTGAAACAGATAACTTCAAGGCATGCTTCGAAGTCTTACATGAAAATGATTGATAACTCTTACCTTGGAAGCTCTGATGATGTTACGAGACTCGTGGAGCGTGTTGAAGCTACGTTTATTAAGCATTTCGCTAATGCTAACAGGAGAAAAGGAATGAACATCTTGAGACCGAAAGCTAAACGAGAGAGACATCGAATTACATTCTCCACAGGTGGAATTCGTCATACTTTTTACTGAATGTCTTTTTCGTCAGTCTTTGCTTGTTAATTTCTAATGCGGAATTCGGTTTCAGGCTTCTTGGGTGGATGCTTGTTTTCTTTAGTAGTGGCTCTATTCGCGATCATACGAACCCGAAACATTTTGCAGGAGGAAGGTCAGAAACAGTACATGAATACTATGTTCCCTCTTTACAGGTAAACTCTAATGTTTCTTCTGTTCTCATGAATATATATCGGAAATTCAAGGTGGAACTTATTGTTTCGATGCACTCTGCCTTCTTTGTTGTTCTTACAGTTTGTTCGGGTTCATCGTTCTGCACATACTTATGTATGCTGGTAACATATACTATTGGAGGCGGTATCGAGTGAATTACTCTTTCATATTTGGGTTCAAGCACGGTACTGAACTTGGCTATAGACAAGTTCTATTTGTGGGATTAAGCATTGGAGTCTTTGCACTTCTTTGTATACTTGCCAATCTTGACATGGAGGTTGACCCCGAAACTAAAGATTACCAAGCATTAACCGAACTTCTTCCTCTTTTCCTGCTCACTGTAAGTCTACAAATCCAAAATCAGCTTTTAAATGTGAAAATCTGCTATATGACGATAATAACTGAATAAATTTGTGATCTAGGCTATGTTTGTAGTTCTAGTCTTACCATTCAACATCTTCTACCGCTCGAGTCGCTTCTTCTTCCTCACATGCCTCTTTCACTGCCTTGCTGCTCCTCTTTACAAGGTAGGAACAGAAACAGAACGGCTCATTGATCGTGAAAAATAAATATTGATCTTTGTACTTCAATATATCTAAAAATCTTAATTTTTCGACTTCTCCTATAGGTAACTTTACCTGATTTCTTGGTGGGCGATCAGTTAACAAGTCAGGTACAAGCTCTTCGAAGCATCCAATTTTACATATGTCACTACGGTTGGGGAGATTACAAACATAGAAAAAACACTTGCACAGAGTCAGATGCCTACAATGCTTTCTTATTCATTGTTGCTGTCATCCCATACGTCTCTCGTCTCCTTCAGGTACAAAGTTTGTTGAGTTCATACGAAATCCAATCGTTCAAACTCTCTTAATTCATATAATTTTTGCTAAAGAACCCTATATTTTTGCAGTGCTTGAGGCGACTGTTTGAAGAGAAAAATCCAGAACAAGGATACAATGGCCTCAAGTACTTCTTGACTATAGTGGCCGTCTGCTTGAGAACGACTTACAGTGTCGACGAGGATAATCAATTTGCCTGGAGAATATTAGCTGGGATCTTCTCAGCTATTGCTGCCATTTTCTGTACTTATTGGGACTTAGTCTATGATTGGGGTCTTCTAAACAGAACATCTAAGAACCCTTGGCTCCGTGATAAACTCCTTGTCCCGCAGAAAAAAGTATATTTTATTGCGATGGTAAGCACAAACTGTAGAGTAACGCATCATTTGTAATCCTAGAGCAAAATTGATTCTTAACATTCGAAAAATATGCAGATCTTAAACATCTTGCTCAGATTCGCGTGGCTGCAGACCGTTCTGGATTTCAATTTCTCCTTCATGCACAGACAGACAATGGTTGCTGTTGTTGCCAGTCTCGAGATTATCCGCCGTGGGATATGGAATTTCTTCAGGTGAGAAAACATATGTTACTACAATTTTTCTTCACCATGTGTCCGCTCTATTTACCATCACACAACATATAATATAACTTTCTTGGGGCTTTGTTTATGAAAAAACAGGTTAGAGAACGAGCATTTAAACAATGTTGGGAAGTATCGAGCATTCAAGACAGTTCCATTACCGTTTAACTACGACGAGGATGACGACAAAGGCAACTAGTTTTTTTCAGTTTTCTAGTCTTAGATTATGCAAAGACGGATTCTCATCCACATCGAGTAGGGAGAAGAGAAGGATTGGATTAGACTAAAGCTGATTCATTAAGATCAAGGAAATGTTACACTCAGGATCACGGATATTTTCTAGATTAACCATAGTAATTAGGGTCACTGATTTGCAGGAGACAAACGAATGGAAGAAACAGTTTAAAATTAGTTTCATTGAAAGAAACATTCATGGGCATCAACAAAGCAATGACCTTAAAACCAAATTCTTCCAACAATAGCAAAAGTAATAATCAGAAACATTCAAAGTTGTAATAGAAAACAATCAAATAACATATAAGTCTTAACCAAATAAGTTGTGATAAATTAAACCCTCACTTTCCCTTAGTTTCTTCTTCTTCCTTCTTCTTGGCCGCAGCGGCTGCCTCCTCCCCTTTTTCCAACTCCTTTAACGACTGAGTAAACCTCTCTTTCTGCATCGCCAGATACTGTCCATAGTAATCGACGTTAGCATACATACATGTATTCAGCTTCAATCTAGCATCTCGACAATTCGTGCCGCCATCTTTCACTTCCCAACAGTGATCAACTTCTATGAATGCATCCTTGCACCCACCTTTCTTCAAAAACCGACTAAGCCAACACTCATCACAATCTTCTTCCTCTTTCTCCTTATTAGTTTCATTCAAATTGTCATCAGAACTTACTGTTTTGGATTTGTTCGGATCTTGCGAAGCAGCAGATGAATCTCCTCCTTGGTAAGCCGAATTCTCAGCATTCGGATTCATAGAAGACATTGTTGTTTGATTTTGAAAGATGAAGTTAGGTTAAGATAAAGAGTCAAGAACACGAATGGAAACTTAAAACCCTTCTCTAAAACCCTTCATTATGACAGTTTTTAAGTTTTAGGAAGATTTCCTATATAACAAGCGGTGGTATTCTTGGAGAACAATATTTCTTTTTATGGTATTTTAAGATATTTCCTCTTTAATTATCTTATTACTTAAAATTAATTATGTCATTTGTTAAATTTTTTAGATTCAACAATGAATTAATTTGATTAAAAAAATTGACAGCCGTAGAGGATATTTAAATTTTAACCTGGCTTACTTTTTTCGAATTTAACATGTTACATTAGGGGTCAAAAATTAATATTACAAAGTTTATGGTGTAAAAAGTAATAATGTAGAAATGAAGTCATTTAATTGAAATATATATTTTTATTCTAATTAAACTGTCGCGGAGACCATGTTCTGAAATAAAGTAATGAAGTCGGTGACCGTCTCTGTCTCCCTCAAGAGCAATCAATGGATCAGAATCCGTACAGGAGAAGATCGTCTCCGATCAGAACCACCACCGGCGGTTCAAAGTCCGTAAATTTATCAGAGCTACTTCCGGTGAAGCTTCTCAGCTTTGGTACGATGAAGCTCACGAGGACCTTCACTACTTGCTTGATACTCTTCTCTGTATTAGTAGCATTCTCAATGATCTTTCACCAACACCCATCTGATTCAAATCGGATAATGGGTTTCGCTGAAGCAAGAGTTCTCGACGCCGGAGTTTTCCCAAATGTTACTAACATCGGTATGTGTTCCTATTCCAAGTCAAAGTTTTGAGCTTTATTAGTTTAGATCTACGCATTTGCCTTTATATGTCCATAGCTATTGGTCGATTTTAGTTTAACATCTTGTTTTCTACTTTTAGATGATTCTCTTGAATTGATATGAACAACATTGTTTGGTTTTGCGTTTTAAGCTTAATGTGATTCACAGTTTAGAATCTGCAATGAATGGTGACAAAATTGAGTCTGATCTGAAGTCACTAGCTAGTTGGATTATTCATGGAAACTGCCATAAAAAAAATGAGTCTTTGTTGGTCCCAAGACTGCTATTAGTGAAAAAGTGATCTTTTGTTTGGTCTTAGCTTAGAATGTTACATTGGCTTTTTTAGAGGTTTTTAGATTTTTTTCTGACTCTGTTTTGTTTTGTAGATTCAAATGGTTCTGATAAGCTTCTCGGAGGACTACTTGCTTCTGGTTTTAATGAAGAGTCTTGCCTTAGTAGGTACCAATCAGTACTTTACCGTAAACCTTCGCCTTACAAGCCTTCTCCTTATCTAGTCTCTAAACTTAGAAACTACGAAATGCTTCACAAGCGATGTGGTCCGGGTACTGAATCTTACAAGAAAGCTCTAAAGCAACTTGATCAAGAGCATATTGATGGCAATGGTGAATGCAAATATGTTGTGTGGGTTTCTTTTAGTGGCTTAGGGAACAGGATACTTTCTCTAGCCTCGGTTTTTCTTTACGCGCTTTTGACGAATAGAGTCTTGCTTGTTGACCGAGGGAAAGACATGGATGATCTCTTTTGTGAGCCGTTTCCTGGTATGTCGTGGTTACTGCCTTTAGATTTCCCAATGACGGATCAGTTTGATGGATTGAATCAGAAATCCTCGCGTTGTTATGGAGATATAGTGAAGAATGAGGCGATGGATACCGAGAAAACTTTTTCTTATCTTTATCTTCATCTTGTCCATGATTATGGAGATCATGATAAGATGTTCTTCTGTGAAGGAGACCAAAACTTAATTGGGAAAGTCCCTTGGTTAATCGTCAAAACAGATAATTACTTTGTTCCATCTCTATGGCTAATCCCGGGTTTCGAAGATGAACTAAACAAGCTATTCCCGCAGAAAGCGACTGTCTTTCATCACTTAGGTAGATATCTTTTTCACCCAACAAACCAAGTATGGGGCTTAGTCACTAGGTACTACGAAGCTTACTTATCGCATGCGGATGAGAAGATTGGGATTCAAGTAAGAGTTTTTGATGTAGGCGCGGGTCCATTTCAGCACGTTATGGATCAGATTTCATCTTGTACTCAAAAAGAGAAACTTCTACCTGAAGTAGACACACTAGTAGAAAGATCTCGCCAAGTTAAAACCCCCAAACACAAAGCTGTGCTTGTCACATCTTTGAGCTCGGGATACTCGGAGAACTTAAAGAGTATGTATTGGGAATATCCGACATCAACTGGAGAAATCATCGGTGTTCATCAGCCAAGCCAAGAAGGTTATCAGCAGACAGAAAAAAAGATGCATAATGGCAAAGCTCTTGCGGAAATTTACCTTTTGAGTTTGACAGATAATCTTGTGACAAGTGCTTGGTCTACATTTGGATATGTAGCTCAAGGTCTTGGAGGTTTAAAGCCTTGGATACTCTATAAACCCGAGAACCGTACAGCTCCTGATCCTGCGTGTGGTCGGGCTATGTCGATGGAGCCTTGTTTCCACGCGCCTCCATTCTATGATTGTAAGGCGAAAACGGGTATTGACACGGGAAAACTAGTTCCTCATGTGAGACATTGTGAGGATATGAGCTGGGGACTTAAGCTAGTATGATTTTTTTGTGATTTACTCTGTTTTTGATGATTTGATGTATCATGTAACTTCTTAAATTAGCTTTTATAAATTCAATTTTTGTGCTTTTGACATTTTCTCTAATTAGATTAGAAAAGAGCATAAAAGTTGAGTCTTTATTACCAAAGTCTCCGTTTTTTTTGTATTGTTGCAGTAAAACGTGAATCTGATGATATTTGCTTCTTGTCATACTCTTTTTTCCATGTAACAGATGAAGAAGGTAAAAGGGAGGGACCAGATTTGATTTCTAATCTGTTTTTCTTATGTTTAGATCTTAGGGTTTCTGAATAAATATGTATCCCTCTAGAAGAAGATTATCTCTTTCCAGAGCCATTGATAAACAACCGGAGGAACAATTAGGAGGCCAAGAAAAGAGGTGCAGATTCTTGGGAGCAATGAGAATCACAGAGATCTTAGCTTTTTTCATGGTTTTAATCCCTGTCTTACTAGTAATCGTAGCCATGTTTGGATATGATCAAGGAAATGGTTTTGTAGAGGCATCAAGAATCATACGAATGGAACCGGAACCAAACGTGACATCCTCAGATGATTCAGCATTGCAGAGAGATCAGGAACAAAAAGGTAATACAATGATACATTGTTTAACTTACCTTCTGGAATTGGGATGTTTATATCTTTCTTTGAATGTTCCATCAGATTCTGTAGATTTGTCTCTGCTTGGAGGACTACTTGTTTCTGGTTTCAAAAAAGAGTCTTGCTTGAGTAGATACCAATCTTACCTCTATCGTAAAGCTTCACCGTATAGACCTTCTTTACATCTACTTTCGAAGCTTAGAGCTTACGAAGAGCTTCATAAACGATGTGGACCGGGAACGAGACCGTATACCAATGCAGAGAGACTGCTTAAACCGAAACAAACTGGTGATTCAGAACCAGAAGGATGCAAGTATGTTGTTTGGATGTCGTTTAGCGGATTAGGAAACAGGATTATCAGTATTGCCTCTGTGTTTCTGTATGCAATGTTGACGGATAGGGTCTTGCTTGTTGAAGGAGGAGAGCAATTCGCGGATCTATTCTGCGAACCATTCCTCGATACCACTTGGCTACTACCGAAAGATTTCACCTTGACTAGTCAGTTCAGTGGCTTTGGTCAAAACTCAGCTCATTGCCATGGAGATATGCTGAAGAAGAAACTGATTAACGAATCTTCTGTTTTGTCTCTGTCTCATCTCTATCTTCATCTAGCTCATGATTACAACGACCACGACAAAATGTTCTTCTGCGCAGAAGATCAGAATCTCTTAGAGAATGTTCCTTGGTTGATCATGAGGACAAACAACTTCTTTGCACCGTCTCTCTTCTTGATCCCTTCTTTCGAGGAAGAGCTCGGTATGATGTTTCCCAAGAAAGGAACGGTATTTCACCATTTGGGTCGTTACCTTTTCCATCCTTCGAATCAAGTCTGGGGACTAATCACAAGATACTATCAAGCTTACTTAGCCAAAGCTGATGAGAGGATTGGTCTTCAAATAAGAGTCTTTGATGAGAAATCCGGCGTATCTCCTCAAGTCACAAAGCAAATCATTTCGTGCGTTCAAAACGAGGATTTGTTACCGAAACTAAGCAAAGGAGAAGAACAACACAAGCAGCCATCAGAAGAAGACTCGAAACTCAAATCGGTCTTGATCACTTCTTTAACAACAGGATACTTTGAGATCTTGAAAACAATGTATTGGGAAAATCCAACTGTAACAGGAGAAGTGATTGGAATACATCAGCCAAGTCATGAAGGTCATCAACAAACAGAGAAGCTAATGCATAACAGGAAAGCTTGGGCAGAGATGTACTTACTTAGCTTAACCGATAAGTTGGTTATTAGTGCTTGGTCTACATTTGGTTATGTAGCTCAAGGACTTGGAGGATTAAGAGCTTGGATTCTGTATAAACAAGAGAATCAAACCAACCCAAATCCACCTTGTGGTAGAGCTATGTCACCAGATCCTTGTTTCCATGCCCCTCCTTACTACGATTGCAAAGCTAAGCAAGGAACCGACACCGGTAATGTTGTCCCGCATGTTAGACATTGTGAAGATATTAGCTGGGGACTTAAGCTTGTTGACAACTCTTAACTTGATAAGACTTGAACAAAACAGCTGAATCTTGATATGTAGACAAAACTTTGTAATGTTTCTTTTTCTTTTTTTGTGTATGTTTCAGTTGATATTAAAGATAGAAGAACTAAGCCATTTGCTTTTGATTCCATTTTTTGTTTTTAACTAATGATTTATTACTAATAGGCTCTGTTTTAGTGGGCTTAATCACAATTAGGCCCATATAATAAAATTTCTTGTGTTTTTGTTTTCCCAACAGTGAGTGAGAAAAAGAAAAACTCAAAAGTTTTCTCAACTAACGACGGAAGAACAGGGCTTGCTTGTTTGAATGGATATCTTAAACAGTCTCTCCTCATTTTAAGTAGGGAAGTTAGTTACATCAATGTCTATCTTCTTACACGCCTAACTTTGTTCTGTAACTCTTTTCTTTTTGTGTCCTAAAAACTCTTTATAAACACTCCCTTAATCTCTCATCAACCCACTCACACACACACACACAAAAATGGCTTCTTCTTCTTCTTCCTTTTCTT